GAATAAAAATTACGAAAATAAAGTCAAAAAACTCTCGCAGTGAATAAAAGCACAAAATGAATAAGTGAATTCATAAAAAACAACTATTTTCACATCTCAGAAGCCAATCTTTATAACGACAAATGATTGAAGAAACAATTTATAAGTAAGCTATAATCAAAACTGTAAATGCAAAAAAAGCTAACCATAAATGACAGTCTAAACTATTTGCAAATTTGCTAGTGACATCATTATTATATTAACAATACTTGCAGACATGGAATCAATAAATAGATTCTAGTCAGGATCTATCTAGACAAAAAAGTCTTGGCTTTCAGTCTAGGCTAGTATATACTTGCAGTTGTACTAAGGGCACTATGCAAATGGCAAGAAGCAAACGAATTTTCTTCGTAAACAACCAAAAAAGCACAATGGAAAGGCGTTTAAATTAAATTCAAAATGATATTACCATCATTTTTTGCATAAATTTTTATGTGTCTAAAAATTTTATTGAAAAAAATTTTATCCTTACAAATAGCTCCCTGGCTGACTGACTGAGTGAGTGACTGACTGACTGATTTCTGGACTGATTAAGTACGGAATTCGAAAAAGCAATTTAGTCTGTTAAAAGAGATAAGTTTTCAATTTCCTTATCAGTTCATAAAATTTGTTATCATATTGCAACAATTAACCCACGAAACATTCATCGACCGACTAAATAATTGATCGAATAAGTTAATAACTTAGAAATAGACTAACTGACTAAATTAGTCTGTCCCTAAGTCATTAATTAGCTTATTATGACACCAAAAAATTAAAATTGGGCAAAATTTTCTCTACAGAAAACTATCAAATACTAACATGTGTATTTTAAGCCTTAAATTGCTAAATAAATTGGAAAAAAGTGAGCAAAATGCTAATAATTTGATTTTTTTTTTGCATAATTTGTCAGCAAAAATCTCATCGAAATTATTTAATTCCCAAAATGTCTTTCAGTATTGGCACAGAAGCATCTCATGTAGTTACTACGTTGGAAGTTAAATCAAATTACTATTACTTGGCATCTGTGAAGCAAATTTCATATTGAATGGAATGTTCATGCCGAGTGATTTTATACAAAGCAAAGTATTAGCTAATATTCAAAGGGATGAATAAGTGGTAATAAATGTAAAAGTTATTCAAAAAAAGTTCGCACTCATTTCTATAAAAAATACTGAAATGAGTTTTTGGTTTGGAATATGTAGTCGAGAGAGCTTCAATGACTTTGCTTAACTTTATGGTATCAAAGTCAATCCTTTAGTTTCATTCATAATTTTTAATACAAAAATTAAGTATTAATGTGAAAAACTTTTGCCAACAGCAATTTATTATTATTATTATTATTATTGGTAAAATTATGATAATAATTGTTACTGCATATTTCAAAAACAGCTGAATGAAG